GAAAATTCTGACGGAAGCCCACATGACGACCGTTCCTCCCAGAGTTCAACATAGAGTGCCTGTACCAGGCTGCCTGGCAAAGGCCAAAACCCTTACTCACATGTGGATGAAGGAACAGAATAGAGGACTTGGGAAAAGTCTCAACTTAATGGGGTAGCATCACTGCTAAGCAATGAATGAATTTCTAAATACAGTATGTGCTGGGTAAACAGAAAGTGGTTTAGACATTCTTGATTAGTTTCCATGTTTTAAGTAGCTGCAGTCTTTCATGTTTTTCTTTAGCATAGTTTGATTTACGCAATCTCCTTCCTTGCAAAAATAGAGGATACAAAAATGTCTAATTTTCATGACACCTAGAAAACGTTTTCCCAGAGCTGCCTATTCAGAAAATAAAGCCCTCACTGTCATTATTCTTTAAGAAGATGAAATTACTCTGGAGGTTTGGTATTTTTTTACATTAAACTAAAGCAAAATTTAGAAGAAAGAACTACACATATGTAAATACCATATTTTTGATAAAAATGTGTAAATAGATTTATCAATGATGAGTGGACATGTGGTCAATTATCTACTGCACACCAACTGTTTATAGAATACACAAAAATAAAATGTAATAACTGTATTCTGTGAATACCATTTTCATATCAAATGCCATATTTAAATGTCCACCAATATGATTTCTGAGTGGTAAACCTCAAATATGAATTTTAAACTGGTGAACTAAAGGAAATCTTGAGGTCATATACTGAAATATGAATAATTTGAAATAATGAATTCAGATCTAATCATGTTTGTGACAAATTGCAGCACCAAACAAGCTAATAGCAACCCATGGCTGTGATTTGTTGTGTGGTAATTTGGACAGAATGAAAAGCATGCTTTTGATTTTTTTTTTAATCAATGAGAGAAGTCATCATTCTCAACACAAAGCCCTGAACAACAGCATCTGACAGTGTCCTTTAGATTTTAATTTTTTCAATGGATTGCTTTAAAGAGAATGAGTAGGGAAAACAGTAGTTAATTTTAGGTTATGTTTTATATTAGGCTACTGGGGACATAAACAGTCATAACTAATGACTATAATCGTTAAACTCCTTAAAGAGTTTAGAAATTAGCTCCACGTTCTTAAACTAACAAAAATAAAACCTAAGCATGCCACAGAGCTATTGATTAATCAGTAAGTACCTGTAATGAGTTTTCAGTGAAGCTTTCTCTCTGTGCTGATGAGATTCATGCTACCTAAAAATTAACAGAAATGACACTGTGAACAATGTAGTTGGAAAATAGGTATGTGTATATGCATTATTTATATTCATTGTTAAACTGGGAATGGGGAACAGCTCTGGTTCACAATACTACATACAACTGAGTTTTTGTCTGGTTTTACTATAGTGTCTGCTTGATGGCAAAAGGGGAGGGTGGTGGGTGGGAGAGGAAATGTCAGGGCAGGTGCTCTGATAAAATAAAGGCAGGGAAACAAGCTGAATTACTTGAAATTACTTGAATTTTCTTGTCTTAAAACTGAAAAAAATGTAGTTACAAGTTAAAATCTGCAAATGGTTTTTACACCTCTGATTTTAACATGAACTGATACTAATGTTTGGAATCTTGTGTCAGAAATACAAGCAGCTAGAATAGGTTTTGAATGGGAGAGGTAGAACGTAGAGAGAATTAAGAAGGGATCTGACTTATAAAAGACTAGAATGTGATTAGAATGATAGAACATACCAAGGTTACCAAGAAATTGACAAGCTGCTGGCTTTAAGCTTATGCAAGTGGTAGTTGGGAAAGTAGGAGGTGTGGAAGGGGGTTTGCGTTTCGAAATAATTCATGCAAAATGAAGGAGGAAGCCTGGTCTAAGAAGATACTGTCTTTCAATAGAAATGATTTCTAAACTGCTACAGACTAAGAATGGATAATCTGATTGCTGTTGTTTTGTTTGTTTGGAAAGAAAAAATAATGTCTGGCTTCTTCTACTATTTGTTTTCACTAACAAACTGTGTTACTAAATTTCTTGTCATCCTTGTATGTAAAATGGGTGCTGGGGGTGGAGGGGTATAAGAGGAGGGAGAGTCAGAGAGAGTGTGTATGTGTGTGTGCGAGTGTGAGTGTGTGTGTGCACACACACACACTGGGGATAGATAAGCTACCTGGTAAAGGGTTTGAACATTTACAAAGTGTTACACTTTTTCTTAAAAGAAAAATGTTTTAGGGTTTGAATAAAATGGACCATCATTTCTCATTGGAACCCATTAATTAAGAAAACCAGCATGGTTTGACACCACATGGGAATATGAATAAATCTGTCTCATGATTTGAAAAGTACACTTTGCAAAGTTTTAAAAATAAAATTTTTAGGCAAATGCGATAAGAAACCATCATTTCCAGTCACAGTAGGTGATCTTTTGTAATTTCATAAAAGCAGTTCGTTTGCAGTATGGCTTTTGTGTAGTTAGGGGTTTTTTAAGCGTGAAGAAAGGTATGTGGGCTTTAAAAGTGATTCTAAATCTTGAATAGAAAATACATGAATTGGCTTTAATAAAAATGTCACCTTTTTATTATTGACATTAATTTAAGTAATGGTACCATATATTTTTTAAAATACATATTGACTTGAATTGTGAGGCAATAAGATACCTTCTATATGTAATGATCACAGAACTAACCCTTATAATATAGTTTTACTTATTTTGTTTACTCTAAAAATCTATAACAGAGTTTCTCTATTTTATATTTCATAGATTTAAAAAAGCCCAAATAAAGATGGATTTAAAAATTCACTGTGGAAAAGAGTATTGAGTTACAAACTGAGAAGAAAAAGCAGGAAGTTCCTTAATAATCTGGAATATTCTACATGACTTGATTACATAGCAAACAAGACCAAGATTTAGGGCTGTCTTTAACATCACTGCCGTCTTGAAGCAGGGTACACACGTTAGGTATTGTGAAGAACATCAATCCGAACTTTTCTTCTGTTGTTTGCACTGATGCGATTTTTTGTTGTTTTATGTTTATACAACGTATCTATGTTGTGTAGGGGAATTTTTTTTCATTTTTAAAAAATTCTACTTTGATTTTGTTGTTGTTGTTTTGTTTTTGGCTAAGTAGAGGACAGGGACTAGTTGTAGCAAACAAAACATGCTGTTTGCTCTTGCCAAAGGTCAGTGAGTGAGTACATTTGCTGCAGTGGTGGCACGTAGAGAACTAGATGGTAATAAAGATTTAAAACTATGAAGAAGGTTACAGTGTAACTATTTTGGTACTAGAACCAGTTCATGCTGGCCGAAACGACAATGGTTTATGGACTTGCATCCATTTTGTATTTTTGTAATATTTGTAAATATGAACTTTTTAAATTGCTGCAAAGATGGTTTCTTTTGTAAGATGTTTTCAACGTTTACATTCAATCCAAGCCTTTGTATATTTTAGAGCTGTGCAACACTTTAAGTCTTGTATTTATTTTTAGTAAAAACGGTGACAGTTTCATTGTGAACCCCTCTCAAAAAAATGTATCAGAAAAGTTTGATTACCTAGAAAGTGTGTATAGAAACTGCAAATAAACGTGACTGCAATTAAACAATCGTTTTTTCTCTTCACTGTTACGTAATTGATTTCTTAGGCTTCACAAGTGTTTTACAGGCAACAGGACATAAGGGCAGGATCTATTATGGCAAAAGTAGGAACAAAAAGAACATAGACCAGCCTGTCCGACATAGTGAAACCCGTCTCTACTAAAAATACAAAAATTAGCTGGGCATGGTGGCAGACGCCTGTAATCCCAGCTACTCTGGAGGCTCAGGCAGGAAAATCGCTTGAACCCAGGAGGCGGAGGTTGTAGTGAGCCGAGATCGCACCACTGCACTCCAGCCTGGGCAACAAGAGTGAAACTCCGTCTCAAAAACAAAAATAAAAAAATAACATATACTATATCTATAACGGACTCTAATCTAGCTTCGTATTTGAGAGGAAAAAGAATTTCCAACGTCCAGTATACTTTCTTTGTAGTTTACTACAAAGTATACTTTCTTTTCTTGGCCCCTCTCTGGGCCAAGAAAAGATGTATAGCTTTACTTTGAAATATCTGCCTGCTTTGCTTCTGATAATTATTCAGACTGTGTCTCCTTCCCAAGATGAGCAGCCTCGATATAAGTATGTAAGACTATATGCCACTAGATGATGTCACATAGCCTTTATTACAATAGCAAAATTCTATGCCAGGTACTGATCTAAGTGCTTTGCATACATTAACTCATGTAATCCCCATATTATACCCATTTTACAGATGGGGAAACTGAAGCACAAAGCGGTTACATGGTTTGCCTAAGGCCATAGAAGGACTGTGTTAGAGCTGGGGATCCAATCCAGTAAATCTGCCTTCAAGGTCTGTGTTAGTTCCCCAGTACAACTTCTGGGTGTTGGAGACTGGAATTATCTTGTCCCCTCCTCCGCCTCCCTCGCCCTTCCTCCCAGACCCGGCTCGGGCAACTGCTAAGGCCCCGCCCCTCTCCTCGTTCCAAGTCAATCACGGGCGTGCGTCCAGGAAACCCAGTTTACGTCGATGTCTCTGGTGCGCCACAGGGCGTGGGGGAGGGGCGGGATCACATTAAAAAAAAAAAAAGCTTCGGACACCCCAACAACGAAGTGGGGACACCACGTCCCTAACACCACCACCACTGGAAGGGTTGCGCATGCGCGCCAGCCTCCTGCGCAGCCGCAGAAACCACTCTCAGCGCGAGAGGCTCGCGAGTCTCTGAAAGGTCTAACCTCCATTTTCAATCCTGCGGGTGTTATGAAGAAAAACCTGAGGTAAGAGGCCCCGCCCCACAGCCATCTCCTCAGCAAATTCCCGCCCTCGGCCCCGCCCCACATCCCACTCCTTAGCAAATTCCCGCCCTCACCCAAGGGCTGGGAGAGCGCCCGCGGATTGGCCGATCAAAGGCGACGCCTGTCAGTGGCCAGACGCCGATTGGTCAGCGGGTAGTCCCGCCCCCCCTTCACCGCTAGTGTGGAAACTCGGCGTCGCGGGAGCTCTCTGATCCACTCAGGGGTCAAGGCATCACTGGTCTCTCGTGCGTGTGACCAGGTTTCCGGCGCCGGAGCCTTTCCGAAGCGTCGAGCGGCCTAACGGTCACAGCTGTCGCCCATCGGGGAGGCAGGACTACTGCGAGCAGTTTTACCGCGACCTCCGGAGGCCGGCGTGACAGGCTCTGTCGCTAAAATAGGTCTGTCCAGTCGTACTTTTTCCTCACCTTGAGCTTTCCTGTCACGGGAATACACGATTTGGCTTAGGGGCTGGGGCTCTCCTGAGGAGAGAGGGTTTGCTTTGCGGGGAAGAGCGAGTTTTGCACTTCGCAGCCTCAAATTTCAGCCGCGGTGTGGAGGGGGCTGCTTTGGGTGGTCCCCACAGCCTTTCCGGAGTGCCCGCGCGTGTGAGCTTTTGAGATTTGACAATTTGTGAAGTGCTTGGTGCTGACTTTCGGGGATGACAGGATCCTTTTACAGTCGTTCTCCTGTCAGGGGAGGCAGGTGGGGAGCGAGGAAGGATCCAGACTTTGTTAACAGAGCTTTGAGTCTAAAGAATTGACAAACTCCGGAGTTGATTTCCTGTCAGACCTTTTGCGGTTGAGACAGAGTCTGAGGCTTTGATGGTAACCGCGTTTGATTAGAGACCGTGCAGCTTCGCTGTTTTATTGTAAATACGTAAATGAGAAAGAAGAGAAAAACGTAGGGTGTCGGGAGCAGAGGCGGGAGTCGGGAGATCCTGCGATATCGGGGTCCCTGTGGAGCGGGGGAGGCCGTCGAGGTGTGCGAGGGCCCGGCCCCGGCCCCCTTGCCGCACGGTCGTTAACAGGAAAGGCTCTGATTTGGTTGGTGGCGGATCGCGTCCCTCCCTCCTCTCCCCGACTTTCCCCAAGAGCGGCAAAGTGGCTTCAGGTTGACTAAAAGAGAGCGATTTTCCCAGCAGCTTTGCAGCGCGGTGTTTTCTAAAGCGGGCCGTGGGCTGGGTGCCCTTTTGGGCCTCACTTGTCCGGCCTGCGGCAAGTGCTGGGCGATGGGATACGGTTCTGGCGGCAATGGAAGGGCTGCCTTTGAGAGTCTCGAAGGAAGATTTAGAAAGTGATTGTTCTTAAAACAAACGGAGCGGTCTGGCTGTTGTAATTGGCCCCGTTTTTCTGTGTGTTTCTCAAAGTGGTCCCGGCGTGAGTGGTGCTTCATTGTGAGCTGTGCCTTATCTGATGAATTAATGGCAGGTGAAAGCCTTGAGCCTCCGGAGCGAATATTTACGACTTTTGAAAATGTCTTTAATGTCTAAAAAAGTCTCTTAGAAAAGCAGACGGCCTCTTGTTCTTATGTTATCAAGAGTTTACATTTCTGTGGTAAACATAAGTGAGTTTCATTTTAAGTAAGCTCATTTTGCGAGATTTGAGATTTGAAAGTGAAATTAATTAATTTTGCACAATCTAGCCTTGGGCTCTGAGAAAATGTTGTCAAGCTGTAATTAATCTTGTGGGACGAAGTGAAAAGGAACTAAAGTGTATGGTGTAATGAATAGTTTAAATTTCTGTGGTAAATACAAGTGAGTTTCATTTTAAGTAATCTCATTTTTACAGGATTTGAGATTTAAAAGTGAAATTAATTTTGCACAATCTAGTCATGGTTGGGCTCTGAGAAAATGTTGTAAAGCTGTGATTTATCTTATGGAAAGAAGTGAAAAGGAATTAAAGTATATGGTGTAATCAAGAGTTTAAATTTCTGTGGTAAATGCAAGTGAGTCTCATTTTAAGTAAACTCATTTTTACAGGATTTGAGATTTAAACGTGAAATTAATTCATTTTGCACAATGTAGTAGTCATGGTTGGGCTCTGAGAAAATGTTGTAAAGCTGAAATTATCTTGTGGGAAGAAGTGAGAAGGAACTAAAATGTGTGGTATTATCAAGAGTTTAGATTTCCGGGGTAAATATAAATGAGTTTCCTTTTAGGTACGCTCATTTTTGTGGAATTTGAGATTTAAAAGTGAAATTAATTTTGCACAATCTAGTCATGGTTGGGCTCTGAGAAAATGTTGTAAAGCTGTAATTTATCTTGTGGGAAAAAGTGAAAAAGAACTTAAATTTATGGTGTTATCAAGAGTTGGCCAGGCACGGTGGCTCACGCCTATAATCCCAGCACTTTGGGAGGCCAAGGCGGGCAGATCACTTGAGGTCAGAAGTTCAGGACCAGTCTGGCCAACATGGTGAAACCCAGTCTCTACTAAAAGTACAAAAATTAACTGGGCATGGTGGCGCACGCCTGTTACGCTAGCTACTCAGGAGGCTGAGGGAGGAGAATTGCTTTAACCCAGGAGGCAGAGGTTGCAGTAAGCCGAGATCATGCCGCTGCACTCCAGCCTGGGTGACAGAGTAAGACTCTGTCTCAAAAAAAGAAAAAAAAGAAAAGAAAACAAAGAGTTTAGACTTCTGTGGTAAATATAAGTGAGTTTCATTTTAAGTAAACTCATTTTGTGGGATTTGAGATTTAAAAATGAAATTAATTTTGCACATTCTAGTCATGGTTAGACTCTAAGAAAATGTCGTAAAGTGTAATTGTTTACCTTAAGGGAGGAAGTGAAAAGGAATTAAAATTTGTGGTGTGTCTACTGTGAACCAGGCATGATGCTGAGAGTTTAACTGTATTTTTGGCCTAAATAGCCCCGTGAAGTAGATAATATTACAACTTTACCGGTTAGAAAATTTGAGGCACAGAGAGGTGAAATATTTGCCTAAAGTGAAATGGCAAATTTGGCAATTTGGACTTGGATTCAAGTGTTTATAACTATAGCCCAGCTCCTTGCATCATGCCCTGGTACCTAAAAGACAACAATTCATTTCAGGTGCAATGTGAATAAAAATTACATGTTATGACCCAGGCTTGTTGTCTATGTGCTCCTTGAGACATAGTTCTGTTGGATAGATGTGGTCAATACTCAAAAGCCTTTGCTGTCTTTGCCATGCATTACTCTAAGCACTTGACATGTATTAATTCATTTAATCCTCACAATTCCATGAGGTATGTGCTATTATCATTCCCATTTTACAGACAAAAAAAAAGCACAGAGGATTTAAGTAAGTTGTTCAACTTATTTACACAGCTAGTATGTGGAGGAGGTGGGACCCAAACCCAGGTATTCTGACCACAAGCCTAAGGTCTTAATGCTGCTTGATGCTGCCTCTCACGTAACCAGATATGTGTGACAGTTGCGTAGAAGTATTAAAGTGTGAGTGTTCTTGTAGTTCAGGGAAAGTCATGTCACATCCACATGGGATGATCATTGGCATGGTGCCCTTGCTTTTTGGAGGTGAAACTTGAGTTAAGCCTTGAAGTTGAATAAGTTCTCCTAGGCGGAGATACAACAGGGTATTATGGCGGAGGGCATAACAGGAGCGAGAAGCTCAAAGAGTGCAAGATTGGTGTTGATTTGTATATGTACCAGAGATGTAAACATGTTGGGAGTCCAGTGGTGGACTCACTGCACAGTGCTCCTGTGTCTAGGGAGTTCTCTGTTCTCTGGATGTAAGAGCTTGTAACCATTGTCTGCAAACTTGCCTGAAACAGGCTACATAGTAAATATTTTAGGCTTAGAGCTGCCCTCCCTAACCTTTTTGGCACCAGGAACCGGTTTTGGTTTTGTAGAAGACAATTTTTCCACAGATGCAGGGACGGGGGAGTGCTAGCAGGGTATGGTTTCCTAATGAAACTGTTTCTTAAGGAGAGTGCAACCTAGATCCCTCCCATGTGCTGTTCACAATAGGGTTCATGCTCCTGTGAGAATCTAATACTGCAGCTCATCTGATAGGATGTGGAGCTCAGGCGATAATCCTTCCTAGCTCCTGCTGTGCTCCTGACAGGCCAAGGACCAGTACCAGGCGGTTGCCCGGGGGTTGGGGACCCCTGGCTTAGAGTAAAGGGGCAAGTGGTAAGAAGTGACCTCTGTGCAGTGGGCGGGGTCCTGATTATGGAAGGACCTTGCAGGCCATGGTGAGAGTATGAATTTTACTGTGTTATTGATAGCAAAGGTATTCCAGGTGATTTTAACAATGAAGTAAAGTGCATAGAGTGTGGTGGTAGACTGCACCATTTACTAGCTATGGGACCTGGGTAAATTACTTAAATCAAGCTTGTCCAACCCGCCTTATTTTATTGTTGTCATTGTTGTTGTTCTGTTTTGTTTTAGGCTTTTGGCAGCCTGAAGCTATGCTTTTTAGTTTCTGTCTCTAGGGATAAGTGGAAAAGAGGGATGAGGAAGGGGCTTTACTGGCCCAACCAGAAACAAACTAAGAACCCATGACTGTATTCTCTCCCTTGGACACCTCTAATAAACGTTCTTTGCTTCAGTTTCCTCATAAGGAAAATGGGGACAGTAATAGAACCTATCCCACAGGGTTGTCAGTAATTTAGCAAGATAGAATACCTAATGAAAGAATCAAAAGAAAGTACAAATTAAATTAGAAATAAAAATTTAAAACTGTGGCTTTGCTAAAAATTCTGTAATTATGATTAAATGATTATCCTTCTGGATAAAAATAATTTGTCAAAACAACTCAAGAAAAAATAGGATAATTTGACTAGATCATCAACCATGGAGGAACTTAGAAAATGTTATAAAAACTGGACCCAGAGAGTTTTTTTAAATAAATTCAACCCTTTAGAGCACAAAAATTCTGGTGTGATGTAAACTTTTTTAGAGTATAGAAAGAGGTGAAAGCCTTCCCAGCTAATTTTGCAGAGAAATTTTGATACCAAGTGTTAATAATATATCAATACAATACTGATTCATTAATTGTGAGAAATATACCATCTCACTAATGTAAGAGCTTAGAAATAGAGATGCAAACAATTTCTAAATAAAACACCAACAAATTGAATGTTGTTCTTTATAGTCAGCTGGACCCCTCACCCCAAGAACATTAAGAAATGTATTAATATGTTGCATCAGTAGATCTAAGGAGAAAAGTCACTTAGTCATCTGATGCCAAGAAGCTATTTGGTACTATTTATTATCTGTCCTGGTTTTAAAACTACATGCAGGACCAGCAGGATACTACCTTAGTTTATTTTGTAACATCTGGTTGACCCCAACAGCCCTCCTTAGTGGGAAGAAGTAGAGGAGGATTTTCAAACATGGAGACCTACTCATTGTTTCTACCTCTAGGAATTTATCCCATAGAACTACTTGCACAGGTGCAAGACTGTTCTGCAGTGTTCTTTATAAGGGCAAAACTTTAGAAGTAACTTGAATATCTATGAATTGGGGGCTGTGTTTAATAAATCATGGCATATTTACAAGATAGAACACCAAGAAGTCATTACAGTAACTACAGTAGACCTAAAAGTATTGGTTTGGAAAGACTCTTTCCACCACAGGTTAGTTTTGCCTGTTTTTGAGTTTAATATCAATTGAGTCATATACTGTACTCTTTTGTGTCTGGCTGTTTTTAAACTCAAGGTTATGGTTGTGAGATTCGGCCTTGCTGTGTACAGCAGTAGTTGGTTTATTCTCATTGCTGTGAAGTTCCTTTGTATGAATATACCACAATTTAATTACTGATAGCTTGTATAAGTTTTATAGTCAGAAAACTCAGATAGTTTAAAAAGTGAAATTTGATTGAAGTTACAGCTCCAATTAGAGATATTTTATAACTTGATACTTCTATGCAACATTAGTCTGCATTTATCTAACTCGAGTTAGCTCTCCCATCTTCTTTATCCCCTTTTTATTTCTCTCTTTTGGGTTCATGGTCATTAGTATCTCCACTACAGAATGAAAGGGAAACAGGAAAGAGATGAAACCTGAATCCCTTAATTGTGCCTCTCATTACTGCTCTGGCTCAGGAAGAATAAAGTGGGGTAGCTCTTTCATTAAGGTACCCTTCCCAGTAACTGTGATGCAGACATTCAAAGCAAATCTCTAGTACAAGATATAATCTGATACTGTTGCAGCCAATGTTTTCTAGTTCCATAGTTAAGTGGCTCAGAGCCATAACCAAATCTTCCTAATTTTAGATTGTTTGGCTTACCTTTCACATCCATTTATTTAGGTTTAATATAAAATTTAATAAGGCAATCCTAACTTGAAAGTTGAAATGGACCTTAGAGATCATCTCAACTGGTGTTCGAAACCTGGTGGATGAGGAGGTGGTGTCTCTCCTGGTCTGCCCAGCCTACATAGTGGTGGGGACCCAATCCAGAATAGACTCCTGGCTTACATTTTGGAGGCAATGCTTTCTCCTTAGTCAAGAGCCTTTTGGAGCTCCTTTACAAAAGCAGTTAGCCCTTGCTTGTTCATTTGTTTGCCCTTCTCTTGTTCATTTGTTTACAGCATTTACTCTGTAGGCTTTAAGTTACTAAGTTACTTCACAGTTTGTAATTGTGTTTGATTTGATTCTTATTTCTAGTCATGGGCAGTATAGCCCTTCAGTTTTAAAAGATTTATTCTAAATTGGCCATGGAAGAATTCTGGTTTTGTCACTCTCTAAAATTCAACCCAAAGTCCAATTCTATTTGAGTTAGCATTCTGAGAGTATATCCATATTATTAAGGTAGTAAGTGTATGAAGTAACTTTTTTATGCGTTGCTTTTCAGGAGTAGAGGTTTACCACTCTTAGGTGACTAAGCAGTATCACAAATAAACCCTCCAGCAAGTTTAAAAATAATTAGGTCCAACTCAGAGGAAGTGGAGTTTCTCCTGTTGCACAAAAATGATGTCTAGCAGCTCCAGTGAAATCGATGTGGTTTGTATTCAAATTGAAAATCTGTCTTTGTTCTTTTTATTGTGCTATACTTCTATTCTAAATTTAATTTAATTTTATACAGTGAAATGCATAGATCGTAAGTAAATTTTTGTTATGTATTTTAACAGTAATATATAAAGTTCTTGTGACAATTTGTGTACAAGTTTCTTTGTGAACACACACTTATGTTCCTTTTGGGTGAACAGACAGAAGTTGAATTACTAGGTCATGGAGTTCATGTAAATTTAACTCTGTGAGAATCTGCCATACAGTTTTTCAAAGTGGTTGTGCTGTTTTTACATTTCTGTTATATTCTTCTGTCTTTCTTAATCCTTCAAGTTGAATCAGTATGTAGATTATTAAACTATAAATAATATGGCTTAACAGAAAACATCTTTTTTTGTTACATAAGCACATAGATATTAATGCCACCTAAGTAGTCTAGGCAATTCTCTTAACTACTATCAGTCCTAATGTTTTTCAAAAATCTTTGGAGATAATGTTAACTGCCTACCAAGAGTCATTTTTCTCTGACATAACTATGTAAAAGCACTTTGAAAAGCATAAGGCACTATACAAGGGTAAGATAGTATATTTTTAAAAGTACTAAACTGTAACCCAATTCCATATGTTTTTGTGATTTCTATCATGTATTTTGAAACAAAAACATACATAACTACCAAGTATATTTGTTATAAAATTATTCCCATAGTTCATAATTCATTCTTAGAATGAAGAGTTATTATACTGAAATGTAATGGTTATTTACTCCTTACTTATTTATACCCTGCCTTATTTTTTGTAGTTTTAAGGTACTTTAGAGATTAATTTATCAAGAAAAGCAGGTGCTCAAATATTTTCTATCTTGTCCACAGAGGGGCACTGTTGGGTTATTTAGAAATCAAAAACCATGTAACATTTATTTCTTTGTTCATAGTTAGAAATACTTGCTTTTAAAGTAGTTCTGGTGCTAAAGGACTAGTCTTTCTACCATGAAGCATATAAAGGGTTAAGCTCAGTGAAAACTGTTGTCTTAAGTGTAGTTGGGTTAATGAGAACACAGTTCTGCAAATACATCTTTTCACGTAGTCATAGTATTTACAATGAGCAAAGGTCCTTTGATATCAGAAATAGGCCTTTGTAACCTCTTGAAAGTGAAATTTAAACCCTCAACTTTTCTTTTAGTTCTGTCTTTCATCTTTCCTTTTAATTTGTTGATAAATCTTCCTCAGGTAAAAACAAGAATACCTACTTATGATGAAGATGACGACACTATTCTTTATGCATATGAAACAAAACCTGATTTTGTCAATAAAGTAAGTATATTAATTGCTAATTGCCAAATATATTAACATTTGCTGTTTTAAAGGAAAAGATGTAAATTCCTCATATACTATGGAGTTCCCATAAACTCACACTCAAGAAAATCTCTCTCCCCTGAATTTGTATGCTTTCTTTCATCAGAGAATGAGCACTTAACCAATTTACTTTCCCCTTTTTCTTATATAGTAGAAAATTAAGAGCAGTTTTGTACTTACTTTCAGTATAAAACTCTAAACCTGGGTTCTTCTGATATAATAAATTCTTTTCTTGCCCCCTTCCTCAATTGTCAGTTATTTTCATTGTCATATTAATGTGAATTTTAAAAATCTCTGACTATTTTAAGACTTCTGAAACCCCTTGAAAAGTTGGTGATAAATAAAAACAGTTTAAATAAATAAATATAGTTCCCCCCCTGCCCCCGGTGTTCAGTTTGGCTGTTACAGAAATAAATCATTAACTACTTTTAAAATATTAGCAGGAACCGAATACTGTATCTGATGCATCCTGTAATACTGAAGAGCAACAGAAGACAGTTAATGATATCCTTATCCATTGCCAGGTATGGAAGTTCTGTCTCTTCAATGTAGCTTTCTAAAATGTTAAGCAAAAATTCTCTTTATCTCACATAAAGGGAAAGTGTACAATTAATTGAAATTTTGCCTATCAAATTATTTATGATTATCACCCCATTGTGATGATTTTTTTAAAACAATTTCTAGTTAGAACTGTATCTCCTGAATAGCAACATGTAGATTTTATAGCTTTTTAAAAATCCCATTACCAACCAAATGTAGTTATGTCTCTTTCATCTACATTGCTCAATAATGAATTAGTTTCCCCTACAAAAATCCTTAAAGGAAATTGACTGATTTGGATGAAATTTAGTATGTGCCTAACTGCACATCAAGATGTCTCAATGGAAACAAAATGGCAACCCATCAAGGTTTTGTAAAGAAACATACCTAAGTTAGTTTTGAGGGGTTGTTGTAAGAAACACCATGTTGGTAGAGATGTGATTACTGGGAATTTTGTGAGTTGCATACCCCAGAGGTAATGAAGGTTTATACATATTTAAAAATAATGTTTCTTACCATATATAAGGTTTCTTGAATGGAATGAGCTAACATACTTTGGAAAGTAAGATTGTTTGGGTGTTTATCATGATCATGGGGGAGAACAGAAGTGGAGTGCTTCCAAGGGACACATGCAGTCTTGGGGGGAAGTGGGTGCAGAGGCGAGCTGGGAAGGGAGGGAGCAGGTTCTCCCTAGCCTGCCTCCCCATGCACTGCTAGGTCAGGGTCCCCCTTGGCAAGCCTACACGCTGAGGTGGGAGGTAGCATCTGTAGGGGGAGGTGCCCAGGGCCACGGTCAGCCTGAAATGGCCCCAAGGGCCCCTCTCCATTGCTGCCAAGGGTCTGGCTCTTTCTTCCCCTACCCATTCTAGATCACAGAGGTGGTGCTCCAGTCTGCCTTGTTCTTCCATCCCAGTTCCCTCTTGGGTCCATCTCCATCCTGCTTAGGCTGAGAGCAGAGGAAGACCTGGCCATCCCCTGCATACCTCAGCTCCCTAGTCCTGCCTTTTCACTCCTGGAGATAGTGGAGCACCTGGGGCAGTCCTCTCCTCCAAGTCCTCATAACTGTACCCACAGCCAACCAACTGCCCTCATCCCCGCCCTTCTTCTGACCCCTTCCTGACCATTCTAGTGACCAGGGCTGATGCCCTTGCTGCTTTCTGCATCTAGTCCCCTCCCCCACACTCAGAGCTGCCCCGCATCGCATCGGGCGTCCCTCTCTCTCTCCTCTGGCTCCAGTCCCTGTCCCTCCTTCCCCTCTACAAGTTCTCCCACATCTTGGAGAAGCCGCTTCTCTTGCTTCCCATCCCTCCTTTCCTGTCATCCTCACTCTCTCCTTCCCGTGACAGCCCCGCTCCTGGAATGTCATTCATACTCGCTGTCTCCACACCTGGCTTCCTGTTTTTCTCTCTGGGTATTTATGAAGCTGCTGTTCCTTCTATGCTGTAAGCCCTTCCATGCATCCTCACCTGGCGAGGGCCTTCTCATGTTTTAATTCTCACTTCAGACCTTACCTCCTCTGAAAAGGTCTCCATGACTGCAGCGTGGGTTAGGACTGCTTTTCTGTGCACACTTAGCTTCCTGTTCCAGCCTGTGTCACACCACTGGTAATCACAATAGTAACATTAAGAGACCACTAAGCACTGTTGGACTGGGCATAGTGTAGTGCTGTTACTGTTAGTATTAACCTAATACTATAGCAAGGTTCTCATCCTTGAGAGAACCCTGAGAGAGATTTTCATCCTGATTCCCTACATGAGGACATCGAAGCACAGAGAGGTTAAGTAACTTGCCCAGGGTCACACAGCCAATAAGTGGCTGGACTCTAGTATTTGACCCCAACCATGTTCCCCGAGAGCCTGCACTGTTTACCTCAGTGCTGCAGCCCAGTGGTTCTCACTAGGGACATCAGAATCACATGGGGGGCTTGTGAAAACATAGACCACTGCCCCCACTCTCAGAGTTCCAGGTTCCATAGGTCTGGGGTACAACCTGGCATTTGGCATTTCTAATGAGCTTACAGGTGATGTTGATGCTACCGGTCCATGGACCACACTTTGCAAACCACTGTTCCAGGCTGTTTATTACTTTGTCTACTGGAATCCTCTTTTTACTTGTCTCTCTCCCAGCTGAGATGGTAGTTCCTCTAGGACAGGCTGGAGTACAGTGGTGCAGTCATGGCTCACTGCAGCCGCAACTTCCCAAGCTCAGGTGATTCTCCCACCTCAGCCCTCCTAGTAGCATGGACTACAGGCATGCACCACCACGCTTGGCTAATTTTTTGTATTTTTGGTAGAGACAGGGGTTTCACCATGTTGCCTAGGCTTGTCTCCAATTCCTGAGCTCAAGCAATTCGCCTGCCTTAGCCTCCCAAAGTGCTGGGATTACAGGCATAAGCCACTGCACCCGGCCAGGAGCTTTTTTTTCGGTTCATGTTCTCAATACCTAGCAAAGTAGTTCTGCCGGGTGGTAGGCCATCAATAAAGGTTTAGTTGAATGAGTGAATGAATGAATGAATGAGGAAATGTTTCTGGCCCTTTGTTAAGTGTATTTTTCTTTGCCGAAAGTTTCTGTGTATTTCAAGAAGAATTCTCAGATTTTTATCAGTCTCCTATGTGCTCGATTGGCACATAAGAGATGTGTACTTAACGGTTTTATAAGGTTAATTGCTGACTGCATGATTTAAAAATACTTTGAAGCCAAAAGTCACATCTGTTATATTTGGTTCGGTGTTCTTTCTGGAATGGAACACTCACTGTATATAATATAGACTTCATATTTGTACCTATATGAACATATATGTTACATATATATATCATAAAGTGAGTCTTTGTTCTTTTAGCAGATTTCTTTCCTAAAATAGCACCTTCCTTGATGTGCAGTCTTTATCATCAATGTGCTGGCGTAGAGGCATTGTGTAACATTCATTCACCAGCATTAGAGCTTCCTCAGTGCCTACATGGAATAGAGCAGGGGAGGGGACGCTGGGGCTCCTGAGCTCAGCGTGTTGGCTCTGTGTCACCTACAGCCAGGCCTTGAATAGGAGCAAGACATTTCTGATGGCTTGAGAACTTTTGTTGTGTCTAGCAGTTAACATTTGGCTTAATGGTATTTTTGCGTTACTTTTCTTTGAAATAGAAATTATATTACATATTGTATGCCAATTATATAACTACATTGTATTATAATAGGTTATATATGATGCTATGCAAAACCTGGATAAGAAGATTGATGTGATTCGTAGAAAGGTTTCAAAAATCCAACGTTTCCGTGCGAGATTCCTGTGGACAAACCGTGTAAGTGTTATAAAAAACATTTTTACAACTGTGATAAACCTCTGGTTTGTAAAGATGCCAATAAGCTAGAAGTGAGAGAGTACCAGTATCTGTGTGAGATTAGCAAGGCATATCTATACTTGTAGCAGTAGATGGAGACTAAACTCTGCTGGGAGAACACTGAAGTTTAGGTTTGATGACTTATGACACTGCGTATTTTTATGTTTGTAATTATAATGTGTAAAATACAATTAAAATGTAGGATTGAAGAATTATATAATCAAAAGGGAGCATTTATTTTTAATAACGTAAAGCAATGTTTCATGGAAAATAAGTATTAATGTATTTACTACTCATTTACTTTTTTACTCTCTATTGGTTTATGCTGTATTTGTGTGATTTCAGAAGCGATACGGATACAAAAATTATTCTTACCAGCTTGCTAAAAAGCTGAAACGCCAGAAAATGAAGAAAAATGAGGTTTACGAGTCATTCTCCTACCCTGAAAGTTATAGCCCCACTTTACCAGTGTCAATGCGTGAGAATAATTCCCCGAGCAACCTTCCAAGGCCATCCTTTCGCATGGAAGAATACCAGCGAGCTGAGCCGGAGGAGGACCCGATCCTCAGCCGCACTCCGAGTCCAGTGCATCCCTCAGATTTCTCCGAGCATAATTATCAGCCGTATTATGCATCTGATGGTGCAATGCGTGGTTCTTCAGGGCCCTGCCTTGGCAACCCTGGGGCTAACAGCATCTACAACACTTACTCGACTGACCATGCTTCTGCAGCACAACCTTCAGGTATGCTGGCCCAGGGAGAGCCCACTTTGGTACATGCCCCTGAGATGATGAGTAACTCAGCTTTGATGGAGAATAGGTACACTGGATCATCTCTCTGCCTCCCTTCTGGTTTTGGTGAGTTTGAAATGCCATATTTACAAGTAGCACTCTTTGACCTGTATTTATCAACATCCTTGATGCAAACTAGTGGAAGCTGTTTGTTTCCTATTTTGAGGGCTGGTTTTAGGTGATAATCAGAATAATGACTAACATTTATTGAGTGCATATTATGTGCAAGGCACTGCATCAGTCAACTGACATGCCTCTTCTCCACTTATAATGACCCCATGGTGTTGGCACATTTATTACGCCATCCCCAAGGTCACAGAGCTGGTGAGTAGCACTTCTAAAACTCTGCCCCATTGTGCTTTTTAAAATCTTCTATTTTTATTTACCCTTTCCCTAGATAAATAAAAAACACTCCTGATATGGCAAGAGCCCAGATGGTAGGGAAGAAAGGGTATGTTTTTGGCTAATTCACACACACAAAAAGATCAAATTGTGTTGATAGTCCTGGTTGGAGAAACAAATTTTCTTAACTAATTACAAAACCCACTTTAGTCATCACACACTAATTTTAGGGAGTCTAACACTCTGGGTGAGTAAAAGGATACTTGTCAATACACAAAGAAATTTCAACACAACTTAGTGTAGAGCATAGCTAAAACTTCCTGAAGTATGAGCACTAGTTTATCTCAGTTATTTTTTTAACATATAAACTTTTGACCAAAATCTCTATTACTATGCAATTAAACATGAAAGAGGAATTAAATAAAATGTTAGTTACTTCTGACCTAGTTCAGCAGAAAATAATCTTGTTTTCTTCAAAATGCACATTAGCACTTAAGCCATGAGAGACAGGAAATCTAAAGAGTAAAATGATACTAAAAATAACCTTATTGAATACATGGGGAAGATTTGATAAAAGTACTAATTTGGCTCTTAAAGATAATGGGGTTGTTATTGAGATTCATTGATTAAAAGGAACAAATTTAAGCAATTATAAAACTGTAAATTTGGAGAATTTCCATTATATTTTGCTAGTAAAATCAACCTAATCTAGATAGAGAGATTAAGAGAGAAATTCCTTGAAATACTTGAAGAGGGTCATAGGTTAGGTTAGATTAACCTAATTTTACCCAAGTGACAGATCTTTTGCCATATTTGCCTGTGGCCAAAGAAGACTTGGTTTGCTTAGTCTGTTTTGTGATCTTTGAAGCTTTAATGTAACTTCTGAACATGCTTTTGCTATTGGGGGAGGTCAGATGGGACACTCTTGTGTAGGCATCCCCACATCATCTTTATATAGGCTTTCACTAGATTTTACAGTTGGAGTCTTGACTCCTTGCTAGGAACGTCACAGAAGATCCCAACAAAGAGACCATTCCTCCCTACCTAACATCTCTTCTTTCAGGACAATGATCAGGTCGAGTGTGATTTGTCTTTTTTTTTCTCCCCCCCCAGGCTCACCATTTGAAAATGACCGTTATATAGAGGAAGGAAGCATCACTAAGCACCCTTCAACCTGGTCGGTGGAAGCAGTGGTCCTATTTCTAAAACAAACAGATCCTCTTGCATTATGCCCTCTTATCGACCTCTTCAGAAGCCATGTAATGTATCTTGTGATCCTGTTTTCCTGCTGTAATGCCTTTGAATGACCTCTGTGCAGGTCTTTCAGTTGGATACTGTGTGAATGGTGGGAGAACCCTATTAGCTGATTTTTCCATATATGAGAAAGCTTATTTTGCCCAAGGTTAGCCTTAAATGGTAGGCTAATGGTCTGTTCTTTAAATGGGTATCTCAGTGCCTAAAATACAAACTGCCTCAGCCTCTCAAAACATTATGATTCAGCATGGCCACTCAGATGTACCTCACCTTTGTAATGACAGATATAAGGATCCTCCCCCTATCTGCTCCCAGCTGGGCACCAGGACCACAAGGAGGAGGGCGTAACCACAAGCTATAACAGGGTGGCCTTCTTTTTATATAACCAGTGATTCAACAACTGATTCCATTTGCCTCGATTATTGATTTGTGATGCTAATACCCTCTTGCTGTTATCAGACCATTCACAAAGTAATATCCTAGGCAGAAGTTTTATAAGTTCTAGTTTCTTTAATTTTGAGTTTTACTTAGTAGAGAAAGTATAGAAGGTGCCAAACAAAGGTCGTACTATAAGGGATTTCAGGTCTTTTCAGATAGTGTTAAATGAGTAAATAAAATTTTATTTTTAAACTGGAACATATAAAACCAAATTACATGCTTTAACAGCATAAGTTGATCAATTAAGATAAGGAATTTTAGGAAGATGCTTTGTGACTATGTTTTATTTATTCAGATATTTTCACAGTGTGTCCTAACAAAATTAGTAGCCACATATCTGATTTTTAATATAGTAAGAAAATTGGTGATTAATTTTAGCATCTAATTAGCTTCAGACAACTAATTGGCATCCATCATAAAGACAACATTGTATAGACATTTACAGTTTGCACTGATGTTGACATACTCATCTTCCCAGCCCTTCTCAGAAAGCTAATGAACATCTGAAATTCATTTTTACTATTCATAGTCTTTACTCTTTTGTCATGAATGTGTAGTATTTTATTCAATGTACAGTATATATTTAAAATTAAGTTTGACACAGTTTATTTTTTAAGATATGTTAAATTTTCCTTTTTCTTAGAACTTGAAGTGAGTTTATACATTACCAAATGGTGCTTCACTGTACAAGTTATATTTTTAATAGTTTTCATAAAGTAGATGCGTATTCAAAGAATATACATCTGCAATGAGCTGCTCTCTAGTTTGCTTTACATGTTCTCATAAAGAACTAACCATTCTGATGAAAATATGGAATCATTATTAATTAGCATTGTTTCTTCTCTCCACAGGAAATTGATGGGAAGGCTCTGCTCCTACTCACAAGCGACGTGTTGCTGAAGCACTTGGGGGTGAAGCTGGGAACGGCTGTGAAGCTATGCTACTACATTGACCGACTTAAACAAGGAAAATGCTATGAAGATTGAAAAAATCCTTGTGCAAATTTAGATTGGGCCAACTTCTAGAGGAACCAATGCCTTCTTAGTGTAGAATCATTTTTCTGCCCTTTAGTCGTTTTTGTTTTGTAGAAAGTATCACTCAAAATATATTATAGCTAGAATTGTAGAACTATGTTATAGTCCAGTCTACTTCTTTAAAAACCATTTAACTGCTAGATAGTATTAGAATAGTCCAATAGGAAATTCATTCTTCATAGGTCTTTAAACATTACTTTTATTATATTGTTTACAAATATATTTCATGCAAGCAACAGAAAAACAAAACCAAAAAGCAAAAAAACCTTTGATTCTGGTTCATCTCGATACAGAGAACCAAAACAGCTAAGAGAGGTATTATCAGGGGTTGACAACTTCTATGATTGAATCTATGGGAATTATTCCCCAGAAGAGAATTTAAAGGTATACCCATAGATATCTCTTTCTGGAGTATTTTATCTGTCTGATGTTGCAGTGTTCTACCAGTTTCCAGAAAGAGAATAGCCATATAAATTCTTTTCCTTTCTGCTATTATTTCTCTATATGTTTTATTTATTCAGATTTAGAGAAAAAAATAAGCTCATAAACTTTTATTAAGTGCTCCTAACAGTTTTAAGATAAACTATAAGATAGATGGAATAGTTATTTTATGCAAGAAATATTGTACCGCAAGGGTGGTTTGGATGAAGTCTGACTACTTTTTTTCAAACAAACTATTATATTAAAACTTTCATATTTTGGCTAAGTTTGGACATATAACTACACTTACATTGTTTGCATCTCTCTATGAAGATACCTCTGTCCAAACTTTTAAAAGACATAACTTTATTTTATGTGTTTATTCTTTATATAGATAGTATTTTATATTTTATTCTCACCTAAAGTATACACACAAGTAATCTTTTTTAAAAAAATTTAAAATGGCATTTTGTATTGCCACAGAGGTGGGATGAGCCATATATTAGTGAGATGTTTTATTTTGTAAAATGTAAATGGATTATTTGCCATCACTAGTACCTCTCAACTTACTTTTTAGAGGACAAGAAGCAATCTGTAGATTGGTTTCCATACAGGGAAGTTCTCTGTCCTATGCAATGTTTCTAATTAATTTGCTTAATTCTGAGCCATTAATCCTGCTACACTTTGAATGATACATTAATTCAGACTAATCTTTGGGGGCTTTATTTTGTAAGTTAGAACTTTCAAGGGAAACATGTTCAACACTATTATTTTGTTATAAATTTTTAACTTTGTATTTTTAACTTTGTTATTACATTGTATAACAAATACAAGGTTATAAGCTATGAGAATTGGTGCTATCACCATTACTATTCGTTATAAATGTCAAGAAATGTTCATCAGGTGCAAGAATGTACCTTTTCTTTTTAGAAAGCCAGATGTACTTATAGCATGATGCAATCATTTAAAGAATAGCTTCATCTATGTTATTTTTTATTGTCAAAAAAGATTCTTAAACTTGGTCTTCTTTCAAATTGTTTGTATGAAGATGGGCTGTACCACTTGAACCAGTCCTTTCAGGTGTTACATAAATACTATGTTTTACAGTGTTCCTATTTAAAATATTAATAAATTAAATCAAATAAGTTCATTGGAAGCCTCGTGTGATTCTTTTCAATCCACCGTATTTATTAATGGTGGTGTATTTGTTGTAATGTGTGAAACTGAAACAGAGACACTCTAGTAAAGCTTTTGGCTTTTCATGTCCAAATACTTGAGTTTTAAACTGCCCAGATTCTAATGCTAAAAAAAAAAAAAAAAAAAACAGATGTCTAAGAGCAAGGGCTGGATCTTCTTATAGGTGGTCTAGGTGAGATTTACCCAGGGGGGCTGTAAGAAGTTCAGTTGATGAGCTGTATCTGCTACTCAGAGGCCTGTTATTATGTATCATTCAGTGATGCGGAGAGTTGGCTAGAAAATGGCCCGTTCCCGAGATATTTCTCATCCCATCTGAAGCCTGTACGCCTGGCGGCAACTCCGGCTGCTCTTTTTTACCACTGGGGCCAGAGGACCGCTTCTGGCATGGCCCTGGCTCTTGGCCCTCTGCCTTCAGATGTCCAGACTGCCCCGGTGGGATGCCTTGGGGGACTGGGTTACAGTTGCGTAGCTCATTCATCCAACCCCTACCCCGGACCCCAGGAGGCTTTGCGGCTTCCAGGCTGATTAACCCAGAACCTCACTGCTCTTGGCTCCGGCCGTTTGTCCTGTGATTCACTGGGAGACATAGGAGCCCTGACTGAGGCTCCAGGGGTTATGCTCAGGTTTGAATGGAATGGGGGTGTCAATGTTGAGTGATCTGAGACTTGAGTAATCATGGCTCTTCTTTTTTCATGCCATCTGGTTATAAATTTTTTAAAGTCATAGGACTATCATTGCCATATACCTTCCTGTGATTTTCCAGACTTGAAATTTGGATCTTCCTCGCTTTGCCTTCCTCATTCCATCCTTCGATGCTTGTAACCTGGCGAATTCTGCCATCTTGATACCTCTAAAGACCATTTCAGGATCACCTTAGCATTTGCTTTTGGTCTTTCATCTGCTTGATTTTCGTATCGTTGAAATGGTCTTTACAGTACATGGTTCTAGGAGTGGAGTTTTCCAAACTTTCTCAACCAGCACTCCCTTCTGCAGGCATAGAAGGACCACCTGCCCTTCTGTAACATTTCAAAAGTAAAAAGTAAATACTGGGAGTAGTGACCGTGTAATGGGAGGAAAAAGGCACTGCTTTTTCAAGCTGCCGAAGGGGATTGTCCTGGCAGTTGGGCTGGAGTACATGAGGGTAGGTTAAAATTTTCTGGCTACCTCGGCTGATGGCTGGCTTGCACGAACAAGTCCCTGAGGCTGATCCAGGGGCAATGGTGGGAGAGGCTTTAGGTTTAGGAAGATGTGCAGCGAGGAGCCACACCCATGGAAATGTGGGCGACCGTTCTTCCTCTCTTCTGGCTGTTTGCCTATTTTGGTCAGCAGGGTGATTGCCCACTACACTTAGAGCGACGGCTCCGTAGTTAAGGCACATGCTCAATTGGCTTGGCCACTCCCCCTGCCTCTAATAGGAGCACTTTCTTGTATGGA